ATGTCTGAAAATAAGCAAGGGTATAATTTGGTATAGTAGACCTGGACTAACTCTTTAAAAACACCCTTTAAATTTTTTTGTGGTATTCATAATTAAGAGCCCCAATGCTTTTTATTTTTTATATCCTCCACATTTTTTTTTTCTTTTTGGAGCACAAACTGTTGTGGAAGAATTACATATCTAGTAAACCAGGGATTATATTTTCACATCTTAAAAGGGACTTAATTAAAGGTATACTTTGCTGGGAAGTGGTTTCTTTGAGAGGCATTTGTCCATGCAGCTGAAAGCTTAATCATACATGCACTTTGCTAAAAGGATCTGAACTGGGGTTTCCATGTTTTTCAATAGACAGCTATTCATCTACTGACACTTTTCATCAGCTTTTAAATGAATTTCTGATGCTTCTTTAAATCTTCAATTTAAGGACCTCACACAGGACTTCAGGGTCTGCAGCTGTAACAGCTGACACCAAGAGTTCTTGGGGTTTTACCTCAAAGCATGGCATTGTTTTAAGCTGACACTTACGCTTTGTCTTTTTTCTGTAATATTTTCTCTTTCAGAAGCTGTATGTTCATCAGGACATTGCATTGTAAGCAGAAAACTGCGTCTGCTTTAAAATTGCTAAGTGCTGGCTGCATTTCCTTAGCTGAGGTTCCTGAAGTCTCTGCTAAGAGAAATTTGAGTAATTTTGGAATTTAAGACTGAGGATGAAAGGAATCTGTAAAAAGAGGTCATTTTGTAAAAAGACCAAAGTAGTTCCTGTTGGTTTTTTGGTTTTTTTTGTTTGTTTGTCTTTGTTTTTCTCTTTTTACAGTTATGACCCAGTTCTGTCAAAACACAGAACCTTAATTTACATTAATTTTTAAGCATCAATGATGTGTTTGTAGGCTCGGACCTGAACGCAGGATTTCAGCAGATAGAACAAGTCCTGAGCTGCTTTTTAGACTAATTTTGAACACCAACTATGATAACTATGGCAGCAAAGTAGATAAGCAGTACTCAGTACGTGGTACCTACTTGTATATTGACAGACATTCAGTATCAGTTTACAGAGCTGCTCTGCATGCTCAGCACAGCCCACAGGATGTGGCAGCAAATCCTGCTGGTGGCTGTGAGACCAGGAGAGGTAGCTCAAGCTACAGGCATTCAAGCTGAGAAATTAAAGGCAGTTCCTGAAACAGGTGGAATAAAGAGCCATTCCTACTCACTTTTCAAGTGGCATCCATCATGCCTTCCTACCTCATCCAGGATACCAGGAAAGAGACTTCACCAGTCAATCAGCCTCCTCAGAGACACCCCCCCACTTCTTTCCAGCAGCTTGGATGGATATAAATGAAAGGGAAATCACTAAGTTGCACACTGAGGTTTATAGTAAATTAAACATTTTCATTTCTTACCCAAGCTGTAAAAAATTTCAAGTACAATCAGCAGTTGGCTTCTATTAGTTTATACTACTATTTTCAGATGTATCAGCTGTCAGTGTTTTGAAACCAAAATGAATGGAATGGATTTTAAATAATGATTTTTAATGCCATGTAAGATTAAACTTTGTAAATAGTTCTGGGTATGAGTGATAGTAATTTCTGATAACTCCAGGATGACATGACAATCAATGGATCTACCATTTGAGCTGCTCCCACCTTATTTGTATTAATGTAACAGTGCTAGTATATTTAAGGAAATAAACTGTTACATACATGCATAAAGAATTTGTTTGTAGCAGTGCAGGCTCCACCTATTTTGGAAAGAATCTAATCATGTAAGTCACTTGGGTATTAAGAATACCTGAACTATTTTATGATTGAAATCTTCATTTATCTGAGGTAAGTTTAATAACAAATTATTTATTTTTACTTATTAAAACAATTACTCTGAAAGCATAGATTTTATAAAGCTGGTTAAAGACAGCTAAATGGCTAAAGAATTAGTAATAATTAAGACAGTAAGTTTACAGCCTCTTTTAACATTACATGATGGCAATATGAATGGATATTGTATTAAGTTGCAACCAAATTAAACAGAAAGCCCTACACCTCTCTTTGTACATACATGAAATGTATAATGTAATAAAACTGAAAACACAAAGTAGTGAAGTTGCTGCCTGATTATTTTAGAAAAGGGTGCCTGAACAACCTTGTTACAGCTTTTAATGTTACAGCCAAAATACTGCATGGTTGGGTCTGAAACCTGGGGTGGAACTAATGGTGCAGGGTTTGTTTATAGCTGGGGGCAATGCCTAAACAGATGTCCTAACTGGAGAGGAGGGAGAGGATTTGCTGCACTTAATATTTAGAGGGGGCACCTGAGCTATATATCTCCCCGATTATAATATCAGGAGCTTTCAGGATCACAGAATGACAGAATATGCTGAGTTGGGAAAGGTCAAGATCATCATCAAGATCATTGACTCCAGCTCCCAGCCCTGGGAGTCACACCACGTGCCTGAGAGCATTGTCCAAATGCTTCTTGGACTCTGGCAGCTTTGGTGCTGTGACTACTTCTCTGGGGAGCCTGTTCAACCACCCTCTGGGTGAAGAACCTTTTTTGATACCCAACCTGCACCTCCTGACACAACTTTAGGCCATTTCCTTGTGTCTTTTCATTGGTCACAAGCTTAAAGAGATTGGTACTTCCTTTGCTTAAGGATCCCCTTCTACTGAGAGTGAATCTAAATTCCGTAACTCAAGCAAGTCTTCAAGATAGGCTTGGTTTCTTGCTTGCCAGACCAAAGAAAAGCTGAGTCAGTTGCTCTGCTTTCCTGCAGAGCTCTGCTGCAGAGTTCCTGGCAGGGAAAAGTATCCAACGTCTCCACCTTCTGCTGAGGGCCCCTGAGCATCGGGCTGGCTTTGGCTACTGGAGCTGTAATTTCATCAGTGCAGGGACAGTTCCATTTAGTGCAGAGCAATTCCTGCACTGCATCTGCCTTAGTTTGTGATACAGTGAACTGAAGTGCAGCTAGAGACAAGCAATAGAGAGTTTTTACTTAAATAATGCTGGTCCCATTACAAAAATAAGCATCCACAGCACTTTTATTTAATGTTTAAATTACTTCATATTTTTACACAACTTGAAAAGAAAATATATTTATCCCACATACAGTAATAGTAAACAAGTGCATTATTTCAAACATTAAAAATAAATCTTTTAAACAAGTCTGTACAACAGATAAATAAGTTGTACATACAACAGTTATGTTGTGAAGAACAAAACAAAAATTATCCCTCAAGCTCACAGTTCCCTGTTGCTCATAATACTGGCATAGATGAAGGGTATGCTTGCTGTCCCCCACTATGGTGTCCACCTACACTCTTTCCTTCAGTCACTCAAATGTATTGATCAATGAGGTTGAATTCCCAAGCATTGGAAGTAATATGCAGAACAAACAGAACAAACAGCTGAATATCTTTCCAGTATCTTGAAAACAGCTGGCAGGCTTAGTAACACTGCTGAATTTGGGGGAAGTCAGTGATTTAGTTTTTGGTTTTTTTTTATGATGAATGACTGCTCATTCTTTAAAAGAAACTGTTCTCCACCACAGACAAAAAAAAAAAAAAAATTGAAGTAATTGTTTTCATAGATTTGTTTTGCATTCATTCCTGGCTGCAAGATTGAATTCAATGTTTTACCTGGGATAAGAACAAAAACATACATGTGACAGTACATATGGTACAAATTAGGATTCATGTTGTTCATAATCATATATAATTGCACATATGCTTGGAAAAGAATATTGCTCTCATGTTTTTGATTGCTAACAAATAATCATAATAATAATAAAATGAAAAAACAACTAGAGGTCAAACTATTACTTGAACCAAATCCAAAACTAACCAAGAAATGTCCATAACTTCACTGATTAGTAGAATGTAAACAATAGCTTGCCACCGCCACACTGAAGGACTGTTTCTTTCAATTATAAGGTTTTTGCTAAAGGAAAAAATAATTGGGCAAATATTGGGCACTCCTGAAAACGATGGGAAAAAAGTTTTCTCCAAACAGCTCCAATCTCAGTTCACTTGCAATTCTGACACTCAACCATCTGCATGCAACAAAGTTGACCACTCAATCCCTGCTCCTCATGATACCAACTGACTTGCATCCTCTTAAATGAAAATGTTATTACAGCAGAGAATATGGCACTAGTTCCCTAGTGAGAGCTAATTCAAGGTCACCTACAAACACAGGGAGAGGGTCAAAGATCACCATTCTCCTAAAATCTGATGGAGTGGATATGATGGGATTCCATCTGACTGAAAAAGGTCTTCCAAAAATTTCCCATCTTGAACTGAATCTCTAAAAATTATTCATTTGTTTGTTCACTGGGACTGTACACAGAACTACACACAGTTAAATTAATTTGTGAAGAATTTATGAAAAAGCAAACGACTTTAGGAAGAAAAGCAAATGACTTTAGGAAGAAAACCCAAATTCTCTTTATAAAAAAAATTAGTCTCAGAATTCATCGTGTTTGCTAAACACATCTTAAATTTCTAAAAAAACCCTCATAAAACATTATGTAAACTTGTATATAATCTTCAACCACTGAATTGATGAGTACTTCTTCCACATATCAAGGGTTACATATAACATGTATTACTCTTTCCAGCCCAAACACTAATCTCTAACCAGCAAGTTACCGCTGTGTTCAGAGCGCCGCCCCGGCCAGGCTCGTGCCGATGACGGCAGCGCG